GTGGTGGTGCAGGAGAAGGCAGTGCTTGTAGGTTCTTGGTAAGACAAAGCGCCCATAACTGACCCTGGCACCATCCAGCTCATCATTTTTTCATCCTTCCATGACAACTGAGGTGTCTTTTTCTGCATCATTGGTGCAGGGTTAGTGTTTTATTTGGTTTTAATCATAGCATAGCTAGATAAAGTTTGCACCATAAAACACAAATATTTATCAGGTTACAAAATGCGAAAAATTCTGAGCAAGAATACTTCTTGTTTTGGGGGGGAGGTTTTGCACATGAAGCAAAAAGTCGGAATTTATTTATTTATTTATTTATTTATTGTTAACATTTTTACCCCACCCTCCCCGCGAGCAGGCTCAGGGCGGCTTACAAGAGGGCACAAGCCCATACATAAAAACAGGATAAAACAGTAAAACCATTAAATAAAAACATACACAAGAATAAAGTGCTCCATGCAAACAAGATGGCTTCCGAATAATTTCGTGATGGTATCATTCATTTCCTTGGGAGCAATATTGTCCTGTCGATGGTCAGCCAGTCCAGCAGTGTCAGTGTCAAGATTGTGGCTGATTTTCCTGGGACCGTCCCAAACCCTGTTATTCTCCACCATTAATGGTGGTGGTAGTGGTAGTGGCGGCCCCTATGTAAAATCCTGGCAGAAGAGCTCCGTCTTGCAGGCCCTGCGGAACTGCATAAGGTCCCACAGGGCCCTGATCTCCTCTAGGAGCTCGTTCCACCAGGTAGGGGCCGCCACTGAAAAGGATCTGGCCCTGGTTGCAGCAAGCTTTGCCTCCTGGGGGCCTGGCATCATTAGGCGGTGTTGTGTCCCCGACAGAAGTGCTCTTGGGTGTATATATGGGGAAAGGCGGTCCCTCAGGTAAGTCGGACCCTCATCAATTTATTAATGATAAACCTGGACAGTAGCAGGAAAAAGGCATAGCCACCAGATCCTCCTATCCAAGTGACTGCTTCATAGTAAGGCTGCTGCTGACAGTAATACTTGGACTGTGAGTATACATATAAAAGCTTGGTTAAAAGGTAGTCTCCATTTACTTGTTTAAAATATCTGAAAGTTCACGACAGATAACAATTAATTTAACAATACTTGTATCCCTTCAAAATTGACCATAGTTGGCAAGATTTCTGATCTCTGGGGCATGACTTTCTCACCTGCCTTCTCCTGCCGTAGCCCAAAATGACCCTAAATGTTGCTCCAGAGGAACAGGCAACCTCCCTCTGGAACAGCACAAGAAAGAAGTTGAAGGGCTGTTGGGGTAGAGGGGAAACTGCCAAAAATCACACCCCCACGGCTCTCATAGATCTGTTCAACAGTGTCCAACGCTGTATCTAAAATTCAAATATTAAAACTTCAGATGTAAACAAACATCATAGCATAAAGCAGCGCTGCAACATGAATAAATTACCTTGAAAGGAACCCAGCATTTAAAATCACACTCATAAACAGCAAATACCCATGGGAAGAGTGTCCTTTATGCACATAATGAGTAATGATGAATAGGCAGATGTATACATAGATTTGAGAAGTAAAGGAAAAGATTGGCGAAAATGCTGTTAGAGGTGGTTAGAAGAACAAGAAAATGGTGGAGAAGAAAGCGGAACATTGCAAAATGTGTATCTAAACATCAATTCCTCTTGTTGTAGCCACTAAACAATATATCTTAAGAGGGTCCATTCACTTCGGTAAACTATTCCAGAAGAAGTGATGTGAAGATTGCAGTGCTGTGATGATCCCAGTGCAAACACTATTAATTTCAGCAGGGATTTGCTCCATCACAGCGATTCTAAAATTGATCTGTAGAACTGAGATCCTGACCTAGCTAAATCAGTTGAAAACCTTGCTGTTTAGTTCACTTGGTGTTCGTCAATCCATCAAAGGTATTCTTAGTGGAGAGGCATGTTTGTTCAAGGGAAGCAACAACTGAACACTGATGGCTTGAGACATTAGAACTAGACTAGCTGAAACACTACAAAGCAAAGAGCAATCTTATCGTAGCTGTCAGGTGATGGATGAGATGACAGCAAAAGTCTTTTCATCTGTACTAGTCATGGTGCCCTATCCATCTTGAAGAGTGTTGGCACACAGAATTGGCAAGGTTTGTTCCCTGAAGGCTGCCAAAGGAAACAAAGACAGAATTTGACCTTAGGTGGTAAAGGCCTGCTTGTGAAGGGCATAACCTAACTTCTAAGAATTTTCTTTCAAAAGGAATCTGTAGTTCATACAGTTACCAACTACTCATATTTCAGTCACATTGAGTGTAACTACTGATAGCGAAGGTGGGATATGCATTTTCTAATAGAAATAAAAACAAATACTTACGTGAGACAATTGGTCAGAATTTCGATTACCTTTCTCATTTTGTTTTAACCTTTGTTTTAAATTAGAATTTTCAGTGCATCATTGTATGGTGACACGACTATAGCAAGTAGTCGCATTTGCCTCCTAAAACTGAAATGATTCTTACCGATCTGCTCAGTGCATTAACATCTGAATGTAATCTTTGTCTATATTTCAGATTTCATTCAAGAATTTCATAAATACCACTCTATTGTTACTGATATTAATCATTCCTCTCAGTGCAGTGCCTGTCCCATATGGCTTTTCCCCCTGTGAGTCCCATAGTCCTTGCTAAAAAAATTTGATGGTGAACAGTTAGAAAATTGATAGGATTCAACCCAGTACATTGTTGGTATAACTCCCTGCATGTACTAGAAAGGTTAAAGGAAATACCTCCAGTGACAGAACAGTGACTTATACTATAGGTTCAGCAATACAACTTTGTCCTTTTCCTTTCTTTAAGCGTGCCATATTTTTTCTGCCAGTTTACATTATCTTGCAAATATTAAGGGTGGAGCATTAGGACTCCGAGTCCTGAATCCAATACAATGTTACAAAATGGGATTTTGCAAGAAGTGTACCATTTCTGCTGGGCATTGTGCCTTTCCCCATGCAGCCCAGGGCCAACTTTTGTGGATATGTTGACAAAGGGATGATAACAAACTAAGACCACTGATGTCTCAGTTGTGCTTCATTCTTGGGGCCCTTTGGATCTTTTGATTCATTTTGGACTAAGGATGAGCACAAACCTGCCCACAACCCTAAATTTATGACTAAAATCGCCTGGGTTGTGGTTCAGGAGCTGAGGTCTATGTGATCTCACCTCAATGACCCTCCATGTGGTTTTTGGAGGTTCAGGCATCTTGTGGGGTGTGTTGGCACTGGCAGCATCTGCGGCGGACATGCTGGCACTGGTCAGTTACAATTGTCAAAGCTACAGGGGTGGGCTTCTGCAGCCATAGCAACACTAATAGTAGCCCTCCAAAGCTCAACAGGCAGCACTGGCCACCAATAAGAAAGCTCCCATTCTGCTCTATGGGAGCAGAGTGATATACATCCCCAGCTCACAAGCAGCCAGTATTTTCCATTGGCAGCAGGCATGTTGCGCGTTAGTTAGAGGTAGAGGCAGAGGCAGAGGCAGAGAGGGAAGGGAACTGGAAGTCATTGGTTCCTTGCCTGAGGAACCCCCCCCCCCCCATTGGGCTTTGTGACTACTGGCTCTAGCTGGCTGGGATTGTGTGAGTTGGAGTGGAGTCAGGGCTCTGAGCCACCTCTACTCATGCTGGGCAGAGGGGCTTAGCTGCCAGTTGCTTTGCCAGAACACCCCCTCTCATAGTTTTTTTCTGAACACCTCTGAGAGTTTGATGCCTTTAGCTTCCGTTCAACACACTCTTGAATCTGCAGCTGTGGTTTCCACAGAGAGTACTTTCCTGGGGACACATGTTTTGGGGGCTGTACCTTGCCCCCCCTCAATCCAATCGTCACCAAACTTGGAGGGCAGGTAGAGGAGAGTTAGCTGGAGACTTGCTGCTAGTTTGGCATCTCTAGCCCACAGGGAGGTCATTGTACTACATCATGAACCTCACAAAATGAACCAGTTTGGTAAATGGGAAGGTCTGTGTAAGTTCGTGGTTTGTGTGGCTCCACAAACTGAAATGAGCCTCCATTTTCCCGGTTCGTGCTCATCCCTATTTTGGACTACTGCTGCCTTATGCTGGCTTCCAAGAGCAGTGCATTTCACCTGTCAAGGAGTGTAGATGCCAGAGATCAGTGCCAGCCATTAGAATGTCACAAGAGCACAAGCCTCCCCAGATGGATCAAGCCACTGTTTTTGCACATGTTACTATGGAGGTGGGTTAGAGGGACTGTCAGTCACTGAAGACCTTTGGCCAGCCTACTGCACAACATGATTGATTCCATATGCAATACAATGCAACGCAGCCTCTTGCGTAAGGGGATCCTTGGCAAGATCACAAGAATCAGGGTGGGCTGCTTATTGCCACAGATGTTCTCTGGCAGAAACTTACACAATATTTGGCTACAATATCTTCTGGCTGACGCAGTAAATCTCACACATGCCTGAGCATGAAAAGCTAACTAATGATAGTTTTGAAAATGTTGCCAGTTTGAACTTTTTAGTCAGAGCTCAGCACAAACCTTTTTAAAAATCTATCAGAGAACTAAGCAAGGACGACATCTTCAGAATACCTCTGCTTCATTAACTACAATTTTAAACCAATATTCTTCCATGGGTGTCAGATAATTCATGTGTTTCTTTTTCCAAGTGGCTTGAAGTTCCAATAATTTTTTTTAAAAAAGGAGTGAAGTAAGAGCCACTTCATTAAATAATACACATGCTTGTCTGAGGGCTGAAAAGGATATAGTATAGTACAACCATATCAAACACTTCATCATATCAATCTTCGATGTTTCTAGTACATGCAGAAATTCTGCTGCCTGTCACCATGATCCTAGAATCACTTCACTCGAAATAGTATGTCAGCTTTAGTTTGACTGCTCACAAAAATGTTTTATAGGTTACCACATAACTCTCACTCTTGCTATATTTTCCCTGCAGCATTCAGGAGGACAGCTTCTCAAACAGCAAACTTTACTTCAGCTCTCTCTCTTTTCCATTTACAGGAGAGCTGCGCCCTCTGCTGAATTTTCTGTGGACAGAACACGCCATCTGATGTCTTTCCTTACCATGCTAGGGCCCAGTCCAGACTGGAATGTAGGATTGTCAGCTGAGGACTTGTGTACCAAAGAATGTGGGTGGGTCCAAAAGGTCATTCAAGATCTGATACCATGGGATGCCGGCACTGACAGTGGAGTTACCTATGAGGTATTTGAGAATACTTATCTTTGCTTAGAATGAATTCTCTGTTATTTGACTGAATCATGCAAAATCTTCTGGCCACATCTGCTGTTTCCTTTTCGGTGCCACAGTGGCCAAATGAAAGAAGGTGAGAATTTCTTAGGGGAATGGCAGATTTAACCCTCTCCCCCCCCAAAAAAAAAATACCACTGTTCAGACTGAATAGCTTCCACCAATCATGAGGAGATTCTTGTATGTCATGTCTGACCAGCACAGGTTAAGGTAGATCCAATGTGATACAGTGGTTAGAGTGTTGGATTTAGATGAAGAGAGACAGTTTCAGATCTCTACTCAGCCACACAACTCTCTTGGTAACATTTGGGCAGATCGCTTGCCACATTCAGATGCCACAGTAAACCATAGTTTATAAAGCACAATTTGCTTGACCCCTGGTTAGTTGTGATGGCTGAATGCTGATAATCCTGCAAACTAGAATTTATGGGTTAGCACCAAACCAGAGTTTGAAACTAGGGTTCATGTTTGGGTTGTAGACTAATTCCAATTACTAATTGTAACTGTGATTGTTGTAACATATGAGCAAGAAACACACAGGGATTTGTAACTAACCAGGTTTAAAGAAGCTACAGTTTATCATGATGTCTGAATTCAGCTACTACCTCTTTAGCTTACCCTTTCTGACTGAGTGGTTTTGAGGACAAAGGGGAGGGAGGATATGCTTCCCTGAACTCTTTGGTCCCTGATCCTCTGGTAAAAGTCTACTACACTGCACTAGTTGTAGCATGTAACAGGTCCTTAGGATGAAGAGTGTTCCTCAGAACACAGCATAGTTGGCAACTTTAGTGGCAAGTACCACTTTTTGGGCATATGCCAAAACATTAAACTTCTGAGCCAGCTCCAATCCTTTTTCATAATCTGGTTCCTTTATTTGTGGGGAGGGAGCGACAAAGAGTTGACAATGTGACTCATGCATAGGGAAGGCTAGTTATGGCACTGATACACCATTGGCTTTAGCAGATTGTGTAAATTAAAAATTACTTTGCTGTTTTGTAGAAATCAATGGGATGAACACCAGCATAATTGACTATTGGATTCCTGTGAGCTTCATCCTGTGGATTACATTAGCTCCCACAGTTTCTAAACAGAAGCCCCATCCTGTTAACTGCTTGCATCTGCTTTCAGGGAGTGTTTGTGTCTCAAAGGCCTAGATGACACAAACAAAAGAGACCACAGGACCCCATCCTTTCTTAAACTCCATGCCATATCTGTGAATCCATCATTACTCCTAGTACACACCCACTGAGCAACAATAAGGGCAGAAAGCATACCTCCATCACTAACGTGAGTCTGGGTCTCATGACAGATTCTGTGAGCTGAAAAACAAACCAGAATCACACAGTGTAAAACCTAATAACAAGCAACCACTGTGATTCATGGCTACTGTATTTTATAGTTCATAAAAATACAAATAGTCCTTACATATCTCTTAGATAACAGAAAATCCTTACAACTAATAATGTGATCCTATATCACAAAAATCAGAAAAGTCCCTTTGTGATATTGTAGAACAGTTTCAGTAGTAAGTGACAAGCATCTAGATGTAAGTCCATTCCATAGTTGATCTTCCTCAGAAGTTATTCATAGTAGATCTTCCTAAGAAATTCTCTCCCTAAAATTAAAAATAATTATTGTAACACAAAGAAGACCACACAGCTAAATGGAAACTTAGTGTTATAAAGGAGCGTATGCTGTGTTATTTAAACCTACTTCTTGTTTACAACTCAACTTTTACACAAGAAGCAAACCAGTCCATTAATGTTTCCTTAATTGGGTACAAAGCCTTCTGCTGTAATACTCGCTGGCAAAATGCTGTCTAAACATGCTGGCAACATACCCATCTTAAGAAAAACTATCCCCTATAATTCCATAAGCTGCATGTGTAACTACCAAAACCTTAAAGGTATAGATCACAATCATAACCATTATCAAAGTTATGATCAAGCTAATATAATATAGTTCATATATTGAAACTCATCACAAAGATAGATACTTTACAAAGTAGTCCGAAAAAGTAGCTTCTACAAACTGTAATACTAAAAGGGCAATATATGTTGTTATATGCCCATGCCAGCTTCTATATATTAATATAAGTGTACATGTTGTAAATATACGCATTATAGAACACAGATCACGAATCAACAATAGAAATCTGGAAGCACCTTTGGTAGTACATTTTGTAGAAAAGGGACACTGCCGTCAAGAGGCAGCTTGGATGTATAGGTTAAAAACATATATGCCTAATGAACTTAATACAAATTTGGATCCATCATGTTATATATAGGAGCTACTTTTCTAGAGCCTCTTTGTAATGTATCTATATTGCATTTATGATAAGTTGCCATTTAAGATATTGTTATATTGGATTATTAAGGGTACTGTTTAAAATGTTGTGAATACTTGAGGTAATAATATATGAACTATATTATATTAGCTTGATAATAAAATTGATAATGTTTATAATTGAGATCTGTACATTTAAGGGTTTGGTAGTTACATACACACAGCAGTATGGAATAATAGGGGATAGTTTTTCTTCAGATGGTTATGTTGTTAGCATGTTTAGACAGCATTTTGTAAGAAGGCTCTGTGCCTGATTAAGGAAACGTTAATAGATTGGCTTGCTTCTTGTGTAAAAGCTGAGTTGTAAATTAGAGGTAGGTTTAAATAACACACCATATGCTCCTTTATAACACTAAGATTCCATTTAGCTGTGTGTTCTTCTTTGTGTTATAATAATTATAGTTAATTTTAAAGAGAGAATTTCTGAGGGAGATCTACTATGAATAACTTCTGAGGAAGATCAACTATGGAACGGGCTTACATCTAGATGCTTGTCATTTACTACAGAAGCTGTTCTACAATATCACAAGGAAGAGACTTTTCTAATTTTTGTGATACAGCACATTATTAGTTGTGAGAATTTTCTGTGATATATAAGGACATGAGTTGGACATGACTGAATGGCTAACAACAACAAGGACCATTTGTATTTTTTTATGAACTATAAAATACAGTAGTCACGAATCACAGTGATTGCTTGTTATCAGATACTATGAGCTCTTATATAGCTCATAGACTCAGCTGTTATATTTGGGAAACAAAAATGAAGAAATCCTGTAATAAAAGCAGGGTGTTAACATTACATAAACTTAGTATCCCCCAAGCAGCACAGGCATAATAACGTTAGTACAGACAAAGGATCAATAAATTGTAATTAAACATTGGACTGTCCCTCAGGGACAGAGGAAGAAAGCTGAATTTCAAGTAAAAACTGTTTTATTTAATTTTGTATAGAAGTTTAATGCCCTATATTGTATAGAGACAATATGCACTCCATGACCTTACAGGTGAAAAAATATAGTTCTTCATTTGCTTCTTTGGAACCACTTCCTTGCTAAGAAAAAAAAAGTGCAATATTAAAAAGATCAAAATATCTCTATGGGAGTCAATAAATGATGTGTAATACAGTTTTTATAACTCTTCTAAAACCCACAACAGGCAAAGTTGCCTGCCTCCATTAAGGCACAAAGTACTGATCTAGGACCTGTATGTTTGTCCCTAAGCAGGGTCAGTACTTGGATGGGAGACGATCAAGGAAGACTTTTCAGAGGAAGGCAACAGCTAACCACCTCTGCTTAATCACCTATCTTGAAAACTTTATGGGATCAACATAAGTCGGCTGCAACTTAATGACATTTTACACACACACACACACACACACACACACACACAAAATGAGCAGTCATCACCCTCATAACCTGGAAGGAAAACACAAGACATTAGCATATAGATTAAACTAGGATCTACAGATGTGGATATGGAGATCTTCAAATAAATTTGTTTATTCCTTTATGTTATTTATAGCTCACCTTTCTCTTTGAGACTCAAGCAGGATCACAATGAGGACTGCCAGTTTCCAGGTGGCAGAAGAAAAATAATGTTGTTTTTTTCATGCCATCAGTGACAGAGTGACATCAGTTCTGGGAAAACCCCAGAAGTGATGGCAGTCAGCTCTGGTGGTTCCTAAAAAGGCATTGTGTTACTTCCAGGTTTCCCCCAGAAGTGATGTCACACCATTGACACTGGTGCCTCCTCCCAAGTTCCCACCACCTGGACTCTCACCAGTTGCCAGGCTGCACTTGACAACCCTAGTCACATGACATAAAATAATGCAATCACCATAAAACATCCAATAAACAATGTAATAGAACTAAGATAAAATGTTTGGAAAAAAATACAAAAAGAAAAATATATTAGACATGCCAATAATGGAATTACAGAAATAGAAAACAATGCAATAAGAGCAGAATAATACATATAATAAACATTGGCATAGACTACTGAACCATTCTGCCTGAACCATTCCATTATATTGTGGCTCTATTCACTTTCTAAAAATCTCCCCCTGAACAATTCTCTTTTACATAGTTTGCAGAATGCCAGAAGAGTAGGAGCCTTCCTGACTTCCTCAGGCGGGCCATTCCACAAGGTGAGAGCCAAATGTATCAGCAGCTATCAATCTTACCCAATTGCATGGTTCCACCATTATTAGGCTTTGCTCAGATGAGTGAAGCTGTTCACAGTGGAGCATAGCAGGAGATATGGTCTTGCAGGTATCTGAGGCCAATCAGATATATGGGCCAATCAGTATGTTCATCATCAATGTTCCCTCTAAGCTGTGGAGTCTTGTGAGCAAAAATTCTACTTAGTGAGCTACTGGCGTTAAAGTTGTGAGCGAGCAATTTAGCTACTGCATAAACTAGTCTGCTCTGGAGCCATCCTTTCTGAGCTAAGAGAAAAATGTGTGAGCTGGAGGCTAAAAACCTGTGAGCTAGCTCACACTAACTCAGCTTAGAGGGAACACTGTTCATCATCCATGTCTGTATGTTGGAATAAGGATGTCATGTAAACATAAAGACACTCTGGAATTAATTGAACTTTTTAGGATC